TCGATGAAGATGGCTCTGGCGTCGGCGTAGGGCTCGATGAAGACGGCGTGGGGCTTGACGAAGACGGCGTAGGGCTCGACGATGGCGTCGGTTCGCTCGACGACGGTGTAGGGCTTGCTGAAGACGGCGATGCAGCAGGCGTCGGTGCCGGTTCATTCGACGCAGGGCTCGGCAGTGGTTCAGCTGTCGTGGGCGTCGGCACGGTGGTTTGGTTACTCGGTGGCGGGCTAGCTGTTGTGGGCGTAGGCGCGTCGGTCGTAGTCGCGTTGGTAGCGCTGGGCGAGGGCGACAACGTCACGGGCGCGTCTGTCGGGCCCGATGGCGTCGTCGTCACATTCGGTAAAGGGCTTGGTGTCGACGCGACGGGCGTCAACGTTGCCGGCGTCGGCGTTGTTGACGGGGCGTCGGTCGCGTTTGTCGGCACCGGCTCCGGCGTGCTCGTCACGCCATCGATCGGCGCTGGCGTGAACGTCGGTGCACTCGTGTTGGTGTCGACCACAGGTGCACTCGTCGTGCTGTTATTGTCCAAGGGCGTTGGCGCAGTCGAGATCTGGGCATTCACGACGGCTGCCGCGAAGGCGACGGCCGCGATACATGCCGAGGGGCGCATGTGGGGCTTGATTCACTGAGCAGCAAACCTAAAGTGTACAGTCGCGATGGCCTTTCCCGCATCTCATTGGGCTTCAATCCTCGTGTGTCACGACGCCTCTTTTTATTCGCATTTCGGAGCTCAACATACAAAAACGACGTCATATAATATAAATGCACCCACTTTGCCCGTTCCGTGCCACCAGCATCGACCGCGCCGGCAGATGGCAGTTCGATGAGAGCCAGGCGCCGACGACTGGCACGTGAGCAGCGCCATCCCTTCTCCGCGTCGACGACTCTACCGATACTAGATCGATCTCCATGTTGTGAGGCTAGTATCCGAGGTGTATATAACTGGCACGAGAGTATATCCAAGTGGTATCTACACGAGCAGATGCGCTGCCGTAGCTATCAGCGCTTCGATCATCAGCTCAGTGAACTTTCGAGCGCAGCGATCGTCTGTCGTTTGTGCGCGATCAGTCCTTGGATGACATCGAGCACCCGCATCTGCGACGGGTTGAGCGTCTCGGCACTCGGCTCGGCACGACGTGGCGTCGGCTCAAAATGGAGCTGCCGCAGCACGAGAGGCGCCGCGCTCGCTACGCCATCCGCATTAGTAGGTGGTAGGCCCAGCAGGCGTACGTGTGTGTAGCTTGTCCTTGGCGGGCGAGATCACATTCTTGCGCTTGGTCCGCACCAATGTTTTCACCGTCCGCTTGGCTTTCGGCGAACTCGGTGGTCGACGCGCTTCCCGGTCCGGCACGCCGTTGGCGACCGCGAGACGGTCAAAGAGGCTGACATACGTGCTGCTCTCGCTCGTCGTCGCGGGCTTCTGGCGCGTCGCTTTGAGCTTGCTCGCATGCGCCGACTTGAGGGCGGCGTACGTCTGCGGCTGGGGCGGAATCCGCGCCGCGACATACGCTCGCGGTTTGGTACTCTCGCGCTGCTTCTCGTCGTCGTCGTCGTCGGTGGGGATCGGGATCTACGCATGATACCGTGGTCAGCGATAGCCGGAGACGCAATGTCCGACGAGGCGGGGACGTGGCAGTATCATTGGTGGCGTCACCGATCTCGCCAACGTCGTCGTCATTGCCCCTCGGCCCGTAGACTGCATGCACTTGAAGGTCTTCTTCGAGTCGTACAAGTGGGCTGACCATCAATGCATCAGTAAGAACTTGGTGCGAGAATGTACCGTAGGTTGTGCGCTCTTTGGAGACGCCGCGGGTGAGCTGCTGACAGCTCTGTCTACGCGCAGCGAAACTACATGTCGGGCTCTTGCGGCGGCAACCCACCTCTTGCCATCGAGCATTGCCACAGAGGGTAGCTACCCCACACGACATTTGTATTGCCTGTAAGGTAAAGGGCCGGGTACCAAATCGAGTACGAAGACGCGGTAGTCTCGCAGCGTCGCGACCGGGTTGCCCTGTGAACTACTGTCATTTCAAACCCAGCCACTCGCGCACCTCCAGCGCGAGCGTGCGCAGTGCCACGTTGAGCGAGAGTCCGCGGATCGCATCTGGTCTGCAGCCACTATGGCTCAAATCCAAAGGAGCCGCAAAACGTACGCTTCGATGATGTTGTCCGAGAGGTCGAGGTCGTGGAGCTGCTTGAGCCCGTCAATGCCTCGCGAGTTGGTCAGCCTACGTGATCTAGTGCCGTGCGGGTCACGGACGAGCGTCGTACCGGTTGCCTTGGAGTTTGAGTGTCTGGAGCGCCGAGCAGTAGACCAAGACGTCGACTTGGTCCAGCTTGTTGTAGCTCAAGTCGAGGACCCTAGACCCCTTTGTGAACCCAGCGTATAGAGACTGCTGAGAACTACTGCAAATGCGCCAGCCCAGCGACCGCCTCGATGTTGCGGAGGCAGTTGAAGCCGACGTGGAGCTCCACAAGGTGGCTTTCGAGCGTTTTGTGGGGCAGCGAGCCTAGAGGAACCTTGATACTCATGTGCGATGCATAACGTTGATGTCGTACTCAGCTGGTTGTGGGACAGGTCGAGGCGCCGCGCAGCGCGAAACCCTCCGAGTGCGCGCTCGCACGCCTCGGTCGTCAGATCGCGATGCTACGAACGATTCTCAGCGCGCACTGTCACAGCATGAACGTACTGAGAGGTTGCACACAGCGTCGTCGCTGGACGACCGTAGCTTGGGCTTCTTGAGCATCTGCCACGTACTGGCTACGCTGCCGTATCCAAGCGTCGTTGCGATTGGTCGGTATTCGAAACGGCCGCCTCGTCGCGTCCTCTGCGACCGTCCGTCGTGCGCACGGGCCTCGCAGCTTGGACGTGCTTGAGGCTGCAAACCGCGAGCGAGTGGAGCACAAGTTAACGTGCACAGAACCCACCTCGACCGCGTAGGTCGCTGCGTCACCTGCGATGCTAAAATGTACTGTCACGTAGTAGAGCCATCAGTTTTGCAGAAACGTTTGTTGGTTGAACGGGATGACGCAACCTCGGAGCGGCTCGTGGCGTTGCCTCGCTGCAGACCTCCAGGCCGATGTCGCGACCGCCAAGTAGTTCAAACGCCCAAGATCTTATCCAAGGTCATGGATCGCGACGATGTAGAGCCGAGCTGCAGCAGCTACTACAGCTACAGCACGCTGCGAGACCACCCGAAGAGTCAGTGCCGGAGCCAAAGCTGCCTCGCACAAACGCTGCGCAGATCATTGAAGCGCCAAGAGATTCGCTCTGTTTAGGAAGGTGTCCGTGTCTGCCACGTCATGAGGTGACCATGGTACGTGCTCCGGCGGCAAATTAATCGCATGAGCAAGGTTAGGAGCGCCTTCAAATGATCGAAGACACAAATGCGATCATGGCCGCTCGCTGCGCCCAGCTGGGTACTACGATGGGCATCCAATGGGTGCTCTCAACGTATCTGCAGACACTACGCTGGCTGCGTGCGCGTCCGAACTCCGTGTCTCCTCTGAGAAAATGCAGCGCATCGAGTCCAAGTACGCAACCGAGCGGCGGCGCAACGCGCTGCACGTCCTCGCCATCCAAGTGCTCGAGGTGACGATGGCGACACTTGAACGGGAGCGTCATAAGCGGAACAGGACGAGTTGCGGACCCTCCAGACGTCGTCCAGCCTTAAAGCGAGTCGGCTTGCATAGCCCTTGTGATCCACGAGTGTCAACCGTTCCATCAACGACCGCCACTACTCCAGTCCGTGACGAGATCATCCTCATGTCCGCCGTCTCTGGCCGCGTTGAGTTGACGTTCTAAGAGTTGAAATAAAATGTTAGCGCCGTCGAGTGCACGAAGTTACAAACGAGGAGGACGCTTGAAATAGGGAAAGGCGGTCGAAACCGGCGAGCGCAAAACCGATCTCGTGCGATGGTCGAAGCGCAGCCGGCGCGCCAAGCCGGCGGTGAAGACCCCGGGAGGGAGGAGGCACGAGCGCCGAACCGTCTCCGCGGCATCTTTGATGGGCCGACGGCGTCGGTCGATGGCGCCAAACGCAGCACAAAGGACACCAACCGCGTCGCCGACATGCTCGAGCAAGAGCTCAACGGCATGTCCGCCGACCAGATCGCCAAGATGGTGCAAAAGCGCCAACATGTCTACGTCATATCGATGAACTCCAAGTGGAAACGCTGGTGGGACGTGCTCGTCGCTGTCATGACCATCTATGTTGTCGTCGTCACGCCTGTCCAAGTCGCCTTTGAGCTCAAAGACGGCTACACAGTCCTCGACGACCTGCAGGTATGTATGTATCCACACCAAGTGCATCTCGTTCACACTTGGCGCCAGTATGTGGTCGATACGCTCTTCATTCTCGAGGTCGTCATCACGTTTCGGACGTCGTACGTCGACTCGGCGACGCGCGAAGAGATCAACGACGTCAAGATGATCCAGACACACTACTTGTACGGGTGGTTTCTAGCCGACGCAGCGAGCAGCTACCCCGTACGCATCCCATCCAAGGACCATGACGTGGCATCCTCACGAGACGATGTAGATCTCGTACTTTCCAGAGCAAGGGCCGAAAATCCAGTCGCTCAAGTTTCTGCGGATCCTCAAGCTCTTCCGCGTCTTCCACCTCTCCAAGTCGCCGCTCTTTGCGTCCATGACTGCGTACGTCTCGCGCAAGATGAACCCGGCCGTGCTGCGCATGCTCAAGCTCGCCGTGATCTTCATTCTGTCGCAGCACCTCATGGCGTGCTCCTACTACTGGGTCGTGACGTACGAAGGCATTAACGAATTGACGTGGAAGCCGCCGTTCGCGTTCAACGACTCGCTCAGCGACCGGTACGTCGGCGCCTTCTACTTTGCCATCATGGTCACGACCGCCAACGACCTCGCGCCCGTCACCACGGTCGAGCGCATCTTCACGAGCGTCATGCTGCTCATTGGCATCGGCATCAACGCCAGTATCATTGGGTCCGCGGCCAACTTGCTCGCCAACCTCGACAAGACCGAGGTGGCTCGCAAAGAGCATTTGGACTCGATCAACGATTATCTTCGGTTCAAGAAGGTGCCGCTGCCGCTTCAAGACAAGATCCGGCACTACTACGACTACGTGTGGACCGTTCGGCCCAGCGACAAGCAGAACCAGCTCTTCGTGGACCTCCCCGACCGCCTCAAGCTCCAGCTCACCTTGTCGCTGCACCGCGACTTTATCAACAAGGTCCCGCTCTTCAAAGCGCTCTCCCCGGGCGGCGCGATCGCGATCGTCCAGTGCATGGAAAGCGTCGTCGCCATGCCCCACGACCTCATCATCCGCGCCGGCGAGCAGGTTCTTTTCACCAAATTTGTGAAACATTTCTGAAAAGCGGCGGTAGGGCGACGAATTTTACTTTATCAACTCGGGGTTTGTCGAAGTGGACATTTCCGTCAAGAACAGCAAGGTGCAGCTCGGCGTCTTGGGCGCTGGCTCGTACTTTGGCGAGATCGCGCTCCTCAACAACGAGCCGCGGTCCGCTAACGTGCGCGCGACGCTGTTTTGCGAGCTCGAAATGATTCGAAAAGACGACTTTCACGCGGTTCTCAACAGCTTTCCGCAGTTCCACATTGCGCTCAAGAAGATCGCCGACTCGCGCCAGCAAACCACCATCAACATGCACAAGATGACCAAGCTCATGAAGTCGGACGGGCCGCCAACGACCCAAGCATCAAGCGCGAATCTTCACGGCGAAGGGCTCCTCGACAACGTCATGAAGACCCTCAAGCTCAAGCGCGGCGCCAACAAGGTTGCGGCCGAGCACGACGCCAGCAAGCGCAAGGCCAACACCATGTATTTTGACACGATCCTCGGCGACGACTTTATCGTCAACATGTCCCAAGCCAAAGCCCGTCACATTACAAAGATGAAGCGCATCTCGGCCGACATGTTTGCGAGGAACCCGTCCTAGTCGACGCCTCTCAGTGTCCGTGATGTTAAGTCGTTAGTCGTTGTTATTAGAGACATTAGTTAGTCCTCAAGTAGTATAATAAGAACCTTTTGCGATACGATGGGTCGCCTTGATGTGACGTACAGCGGATCGAGGCGCGACGCACGGCGCGATACCCACTTCGTGCCGAGACGACCGTCGTCGACCAAGCATATTGCAAGACGAGCCATGACGCGCACCGCGCTACACATTTTGTTGTCCAAGGGTGTGCGTCGACGCACCCTAATCCTACCCTACCCCTATCTCGAACATCCCTCTCGATCGCGAAAGCAACGGCGAATGCGAACGACAACGACGCAGTTGCGACATACGAGTACGACACGTCGACGTGTGCATTCCAAGCAGGTTAAAAGTCGTCGTCGTCGTCGTCGTTGGCCGCTGCAGTCGCGGGTGGGTTGGGCGACGGTCCTTCCGGGTCGAGCCTACAACGAGCGTGGGATGACGAATGGGAAGCAGCGCGTACGCAAAGAGGTCGAGCGTGACGCCGTCGAGCGCCATCTTTTGTCGAATCGCGCCTTCGGGCATGCCCAGCTTCATCATTGTGAAGTACCTACACCGAGCTTCATTCGGCTGCTGCTAGGGCGAGCAGAGATGCGTACTTGGAAAACATTGGGTCGTCCTTGAGCTTCATGACGCCAGGCGCTGCGTCGGCGACCTGCGTCGGGGGCGCCATGCCAGGTGGCGGGGGCGGCGGACCGCTCTCGAACGGCGGCGGCGGTGGGAACGCGGCTGCGGGCGGCGGCGGTGGCATACCGACAGGAGGCGCCGAGAGAGGAAATATAGATTCTGGTCGGGGATACGGCTCGTGGCCGTCCTCCATCGGCGGCGGCGGCGGCGCCAGCGCCAATGTCATTTCGGTTGACGGCGCGTCCATGGGGACAAGGCTCGTGGCCGATGGCGACGGGCCTTCGGGGTCCATGCTACAGTTGTTTCATGAGGGTTGCGTTGGATTCGCAAGACGCGCGTACCTGAGAATGCTAGGGTCCACGCCGTCCATCTTCATCTTGTGCACAATGGCGCCCTCCGGAAGCCCCATGCGCTGCATCGAAAAATACCTACACGTCATTTGCATGAGGAACCATCATCCTGGCCAAAGGGCGCCGTACTTGGAGTAGAGCGGATCGTCGCGTAGCTTGAGTAGAGGAGCCACAGGGGCCAAACTCCTCTCCTCGACGTCTGCTGGTGGTGGTGGCGGCGCTCCATCGTCGGATGGCATGGGCATGGGCGGCGGTGGTGGCGGCGGCGCGCCCGGTCCGTCGGCGGGTGGCGCAGGCGGTGGCGGCGGTGGCGTTGGCGCATTGGCTACAACGTATCAGGAGGATAAGTGACGACGACGAAACGGGCGCAACGAGACCGGGCGTGGGCAGGTCGTCGGGAATATCGGCGGCCGAGATCGTGACGGTCGTCGGCAGGTCCGGAATGCTGTTAAGCTTCGCCTCAAGGATCGCGAGCGAGATCTCGAGGCGCGTGAGGTTCGTGGCGACAGTCGTCAGCCGCTCTTCGCAGAGGTTGGAGAAGTGGTTGAGGAACCGGACCGTGTTGCTGCAAAAGTTGGTCAAGAGCAGCAGCGACTTTTGCATCGGGATCGACGGCAGCTGCATGAGGTCGACGGGCGACTCTTCCTCGTCGATCTCCTCCTTCTTGGACGAGGCGACGACCAGCGCCGTCTCGTCGGGCGGCGGCGGCGGCGGCGCGGACGGGACCAGGGACATCGACGCCACGCTTGTTGTGACTGCGAATTGTATTTCGTCGCACACCATACTGAAATGCAGAGAGCTTCGATTTTATTTCAGCCAATCAGCGCCGCCCGCCATTGCGATCTTGCTCTCAGCTCGGTCTCTCCGCCACCAAGGACCCTGCTGCATTTGCCACCAAGGACCCTTGCTGCTGCGTAGCACAAGGGCGCGTGGCCCGAGTGTATACAGCCCGTCCCACGCACTCCAAAGACCTTCGTATGGCTACCTGTGAAAACGCTCTTCGCTCTTGCAAGCCAGGACACTTGGTTTTACGGCGGGGAAAAGACACGCCCGTGGTTGGTATCGCAATCTACTAGTAGTACACTACACGGACGACTAGAAGCGACAAGTAGTACAGGTATGTGACTGCTGAACGGCGACAAGACTCCACAATGAGATTGTCACTTGATGTGGTGACGTTCGAAGTATCGTGAGTGCTGGTCTTCGAAGTTCGAAGTCGTGGTGGCCAAGCGCCAAATTTACATCAACAAGACAGGCAGCATGAGCCGTGTCATCGTCAAGGGCAAGGTCCGACGCTAGGTCATCGCATCGTTCGCGCTCAGCAAAAGCGGCGTAGGCGGTCGTCGACCCTCTCTCCAAGATGGCCGAGTCGGGCACGGTGCTGCAAGTACGCGCTCGTTCTCCGCACTCTCGTCGCTCAGCAAATGCGACATAGGAGGCCGATGGCACAGTGTGGTCGGTCATGCTCACGCTCACGGACGTCTCATTTGGCGTCAAAGGGTACTTTGCATTCGACTGGTCGCCGCCGACGGCTCTCTCTAGGCACAACAAGTTTTACGCGATCCAAATCATCCTCCGCGACACGGCCGTGCACGAAGCGCACGTCTTCTTCAAGTGGGGCCGTATCGGCGCCAAGACGCCGCAGGTGCGACCCTTGCATATAGCGTCCATGGCCATATGCCTCTGGATCAGCGGAAGCTCATGGGCCCCATGACGGTGGACGCGGCCAAGTCGCTCTTTACCGCCAAGTTTGAGCTCAAGACGGAGAACGCGTGGCCGCTCGATGCAACGCCGTTCGAGCCCGTGCCTGGCAAGTACACGCTCATCGGTGCGTACTTTAAAAGAGAATGGCGCGTATCGATAATACCTAGAGCTGGACTACACCGGCGACGACAACGACGAGGAAGCACCGGCGACACCGGCTGTTGACGTGCCGCCGTCGCAACTGCCGTCGTCGGTCCAAGCCTTCGTCAAGGTTGAGTGCTTTGGCATCGAATGTGAAGCCGATGCGAGACGTGTAGATGATCTGCGATGTCGACTTGATCGCGCAAGAGATGGCCGAGATGCACTTGGATCTCAAGCGCATGCCGCTGGGTCTGCGCCAAAGTCTTTCGGCGTCTATAACTTCGCACTAGGCAAGCTCTCCAAGCAACAGATCGACAAGGGCTACGCGATCCTCGACCGCATCTCGGGGGCGCTGCAAGACTTGGCGAGCCTCGAGGCTGAAAAGCCGGCGACCGACGATGAGGCAGACGAGGGGGCACGCTCGACGCGTCGTCGGTCGACGCGCAAGAAGGCGCTGCCGACAAAACTGCGCACGCAGCTCACCAAGTGCAAGGCGCAGCTCAAGTCGCTTTCGAGCGAGTTTTACACGGTACACATATTCCCTATACAAGGAGGCTAATGCAGTGTATAGCTCGTGCCGCATGACTTTGGGATGCACCTGCCGCCCGTGATCGACTCGATCTGGGAACTCAAACTCAAGCTGGATTTGCTCGAAGTGAGAATGCGTCGATTTGCTCTTGTTGTACCAACCGCGTTAGGTGCTCTCGGACGTCGAGATCACGCAGAGAATGATCAAGAACAAGACTGCCGTCGACATGAACCCGGTCGACGCCCACTACGCGTCGCTACACACGGCCATGGACGAGGTCGACCCCGCGTGTGATGAGTTCAAGCACATCCAAGAATATATTGCGCTCACGCACGCGCCGACGCACCGCCAGTACGCACTCCGAGTCGACGCCATCCACCGCGTCCAACGGTACGAGTCGGCATTGGGTCGTCGTCCTCAGCGTCTTGGTGTAGCGAGGCCGAGGCGGAACACACGGCCATCTTTGACGCGGTCGGCAACCACCAGGTATTCTCAATACATCGTCGTATCGAGGACCCAAGCAACCGGTGGCGTAGCTGCTCTGGCATGGCTCGCGACTCGCCAACATTGCCAGCATTTTGACCAAAGGCCTCCGCATTGCGCCACCCGAGGCGCCGTCGACGGGCTACATGTTTGGCAAAGGGGTAGGGTCCAACCAGCAAGGGCTAAATTTCACCGAGAACTAGGTGTACTTTGCCGACGTGGCGTCCAAGTCGGCCAACTATTGCTGGGCGACCGCGACGCAAACCAAGGTCCTCCAACACGAGTTAGCGGATTGCTGAGTACGGTGTTGACTAGGGCGTGCTCATGCTCACCGAAGCGGCCCTTGGAAAGACGCACGATGTGCTGGAAGCGGAAGAGTTCAACTACGACAAGGTCGAGCGCCTCGGGTGCGACTCGGTCTTTGGCGTTGGCCGCATGACACCGGCCGCCGAGACCCATTTCACGTACGAGCACATTGTCCACAAATATGTCGCTGCACATGTCGTAGCGACAACGGTGTGCGTATGCCCAAGGGCGAGCTGGAGCCCACGGACGCCGACGGCTCGCTCCTCTACAACGAATACGTCGTCTACCGCACCGAACAAGTACGCTCCGATATTGAAAGTAACGTCGCTCATCTTTTGATTGTAGGTGCGTCTCCGCTACGTCGTCACATTGCACTTTGACTTTACGACGGCATGAGCAACTGGCGCACGAGGGCGTGCGTCGTGTCGGCCTTGCGCCCGTGGTGCCAGTGCGCAAACGACGCTGCTGTTGTAGGCGGCATTTTGCTCTCGACTTGACTAGTGTAGCGATACAAACTACATTTCATTGGCAAGTGCGTACCGCGCCTCGACGTAGCGGCGCAGCACCGACGGGCGGCGTAGCGCGCGATGCTCTTCCGCACTGGAGCCGCAAAGGGCGTGCAGACGGTGCAGCGAAGCGTCGATTTCGCTCGCGTAAATCGGTAGCGTCGGCCTCGCACGGCCGCCATTGCCGTGTAGTGTAGTGGGATGCTTGGTTGCGCTTGGGTCAGCCTCGCAATCGTACCGCGGAGGCTCTGGGTCTCTGCGTGAAGTCAGCGCCTTGCATCGTCTCGGAGCAGCACCTTAGGGTCTCGAGGCGCGTGAGCGTCGCCTCCACGACATGCAGGCAGTCGGCCCACTGCGTCATCGACATGGGCATGCGGTCGGCGGCCTTTCCGGGCGCGATCTTTCGAAACTCGAAACCTTCGGCCCTTTTCACTTGGCGATTTCCGGCGCTTGGATCACCTTTGCCATGAGGTACCAGGGTGCGATACGACGGATGCTCATGTGGGCGTAGCGTCGACGGCCCAGCGTACATGGTGCTGCCGCACGAAGCTGAAGCCATGGTCGAGCAGCTGCGCGTTCTCGAACTCGACGCCATGGGCGCGAACGACTGGATGCGCTACCACGGCGACGTCGAGAAGCTCAATCTGCAGGCGCACCAAAGCGCCAAGCAAAAGGCCGACAATTTTGTCGTTGAAGCGCTCTTGACGTTCAAGAAGCTCGACGTGCTCGTGCAGAACCTCCTGACGACCGAGCTCTGGGCCGACCATGTCTTCCCACACGTCGCCGCCAGCGACGTCTCGGACGCCGCGTCGCTCCGCACCTACTTTCTCGTTGCGAATCTTGCGCGCCTCTGGGTCGCTCATGTGCTTTGCGTAGCTGTACCACGAAGCCGTCGTGTGCAACCTCCTCGAAGTCGCCTTCTTCCACGAACACGTCTTCGAGGCGCTCGACGATGACAGCCTCGTCGAGGTGCTCGACTACGCCATGCGCAAGGTCACGTGGCTTCTCTCGACGCCGCGCGACGTCTTCAAGACGCAGACGACGTTCCATAAAGCTGGCGCCGCGATCGTCGCCGAGCTCAGTAGCGCGTCGCGGGCCGCCGTGCAATGCGTCACGATCCTTCGGTATTTTTGCGAGCGCGTGCACGTCTTGTCACTGACCTTGCTGACGCGTCTCCTCGACAAGCACGACGTGCTTTTGTCGCTGGTCGCGCTCATTGAGAACCCGCCGTGGACGTACAAGGACGAGGCTAAGTGGAAAAAGTTCCACGAGCAAAAGTGGGTCGTCGTGCCCACCACGGACCTCCTCGCACTCACGACCACCGAGGCGCAGCCGTGGCTCGGGGTCTACTTCCTCACTTGCTCCAAAGTCTCGCGCGACCAGTACCAGCTCACGTCCTTTCGCAAGTCGCAGCTCCTCCGCGTGCGCAAGTACCTCAACGACGTGCTCGTGGACCAGCTCCCGCTGCTCACCGACGTCCAGCGGTTTCTGGACGAGCTCGCAATCGTCAACTTGCCGTCGTCGTCGCAGGTCATGAGCCAAACGCGGCTCGTGCTTGAGGCTGTCCCGATGTTGCGTGCACAGCTCCAGCGGCGCTACAAGGGTAAGCACGAAGAGATCGCGGCGCAGTACCTCGCCGCCTGTCGCCAGCTGAGCCGACAGGACGACATGGCGTACTTGGCCGACGTGTACAACATGGACGGTCTCGACGACCTACTCGACGACACGGTTGGCGCCCCAAAGAAGCAGCAGTCGCCAGCGGAGGAAATGCCACCAGCGGTCAAGGCACCGACGCTGTGTGACAAGCCAGTGGAGGTCACGATCGCACTCGTTGTCAAGACAAATCCGTCCATCAAGATCGTCGAGCTCGGAGCACACGATGACGTTCACATTGGCGTGGCGGTCGACGCGAGCTCCGAGACGCGTGTCGAGACGACGCATGGACCGTACTTCCGTTTTGGCTTGACGCAACCACCGACGGGAACCGCGGTGCCGTTGCACGCCGTCGTCGACGCCACGATCGTACTCGCCACCGGCAATAAAGTTCAACTGCACTGCGCCGACGTGGCACTGGAGCCCCCCACCGATGGACCGTCAGTCTGCTGGCGGCAGGCGGGCACGCTCGACGACGGCCACGGCATCCTCCAAATGCAGTTCAAGTGGGACAGTGCGCTGGACGCCTTTGTCGTTGGGTCGCTCTTTCTGTCGCTGCCGGCCGACAAGTAGTCGCAATTCCACGTGTATAAATGAATATATTGACTTTGATTTCCTAAGGTCCAGTCGACGACGCACGAGTCGCAGGCTCTTGCAAAAGGCTGGCGCCAAAAGCCTTGGCGAGGATCGTACTGTAGAGATTGGCGTCGACAGCGTAGCCCAGCGCTTCGCTCTTGCACGCGATGGCACAAATGGTTGTGATCGTAAACAGCGTCGGAAGAGAAGCAAGCGCGCGAAGCTCGAGGCCGCCGCACTAGTCCACTTGATACATTGATACACCACACGAACACACACCTCGTAAAACCGCTCGACGCCCGGCAAGAGCGCCTGAGCGACCGCAAATCGGCTCTTGCGGCACTGCATTGGCGCATGGCACATG